TAGTGGGCAACCATTCTAATCAGTAATGGCCAATCTATAATCTACTCACTTAATACGTTTGAGCTCAGAAAAGTACCGGTACATGTTACATTGTTGCAATGCAATATATTAATAACATGTTTACATATTTTTCATTAAATATAACATAATGGAAAAGAAATAACCTCCGTTATATTTTTCGCCTCGAAGGCTGAAGTCCCACGTTCTGCAAGTTTGAAGCAAGTGGGATGCTTCCAATTTTTATTTTTCAAGTTTTGACCTTGGAGTGGTCATTACAGTGTGGGATTTTTGAAATTTATTGGGTAAATAGCAACATTTGTAATAATATATTTCTATATACTATTTCTCTACCAAACAAGTTCTAATAATCCAACTGGAATTAATAGAAATTTGAATAAATTCCATTCCATCCATTTTCACCCTCAAATATGTTTACAAGATTTATCATTACACTTATTTCTACCCCTTCTCTCACTTACAACCCTTGTCTACTTGGAGATCTTCGTCACCAGGGCTCGGAATCTGGTGACGTGTCGTCTTTTCCTCGACGCATTGTGACGTAGCTAACTTATAAATGAATGTTTATCATGACAAACAGGTTATAGAAATGTGTAGTGATTTGGTGATTTTTTGGAATTTTTTGTTATTTTTCAATTTTTTTGCCAAATTTTGGACCTTCGCATCATTGTAATGTATTTTGTTTGTTTAATTTTGGGGGGGGGGGGTTGAAAGTGAATGTTTCATGAATTTACAATGACACACTAAGTTCATGTTAGTCATCAGTTCATGACAAAATTCACTACTGCAGTGGATTTTTGTTTTTCGAACTCTCAAAACTACACGGATCTTCGGCAACTCCCTCGACATTCCAAAACAGAGAGTTGAAAAACCGGAACTAAGATGACATTTCCTCAAAAAATAAACTTTATAATTATTTAAGATTGTAAAATTCATTGAATGAGTACTTTTCATACAAATTTTTTAAAATTTACTAAAAAAATAGGTAATTTTCCCTTATTTTTAAGTCCTTTGATAGGTCATTTTCCTTTTTTAAAGTAATTTTATTTGTACTTTTCAAAGCTTTTTAAGGTATCAGAATCCGAGCCCTGCATATAAATTTACATCGGGCAACCCACATTAGATCTATCCAAGCCTAAGCAGTCACCACCTTGTGCACGTTTTATATTGTACGTTATGTAGGTATTTTCCCGCAGTGCCAGGGCGACGGCGCCCCTCCCCTGGGGACAACTGGAATGGAGCACCCCCTCGCGCGGAGAGGGTCCCACGGCGGCGGCGGCGGCGGCGGCGGCGCGGCGAGCCTCAGGCAAGGTCACCGCGCTGGACCCGCGGCGGCGACGACGCCTCCGTGTAATGAGCAACGCGCGCCGGTGGAAACGGGCGCGAACCAGCCGAGTGGGTAAAAGCCCATTACATGCCCAACACACAAATTGGCCGCGCTTCGAACGAGCACCGAGAAGGGCGGGGCCGGGCGGGGCCCGCCCTCCACCCAACTGCCCGTGAAAGAGGGGCCGACACCATTGTTCGCCCACGGACTTTTTCAGTTCTTAAAAGAAAGGGTGGCGTTGGTTCAGTTACGTCCACACACGTCCCTTCCCTTCCGGTTGAAAATGTTCTCCGCAGGCTTTGCTTGTGCACGGGCAGATCCGTTAGAGCATTCTCCGATGCAATTGGGCTCCAAGAAAGTTCTATCAATGGGATTGAAATGTAAACGCGGCTGCGGATTGGCGTGTTTTATTATTATTGGGCTAGTAACTATTTGGCATATATATTCGTGGAAATAACATGACTGCTAAACGTTCGCACATTAGATATTCTGACCTGCCAAATTTGGGTGGTATGAATAAAAGTAAGCAATTACTCTTTGCTCCGAGTTACGTAGATCCTTCTCAGTTTCGTATGAATAAAGTGGGTGAGCAATTGCTCAGTCTCTGAGCACTTGCTACATCTCTAAGCGTACTCTCACCTGGCGAGCAAATACTCAGAATTGGTATGAATAAAGTTTAGCGTTTACTCTCTAGAGTGAGTACTTGCTCCAAAATTTCGGAGGGACCTTAGTAGCAGAATCACGTTTGAAAAGTAAGGTTAATTGCCGATTTTTTAATCGTGTGTTGATATGCAGCGGACTAAAAAAATACAAGATAAGGCGAAATTCTCGTGTTGTAGACTATTAAAATCTTTGCCGATCCGAATGTATGATTGGTACGATTTTTATAGGCGTTTGCTTTCTGGCGCGATTTCATATTGCATATCTTTTACGTTAATTGGCCATCGCTCTTTCTACTTGGAATTTTTCGAGGTAGTGTTTTTTCAAACTTTGTAATGTTTCCTTTTGGCCACAGCGTACCTCCGGAGGCTGGCCCTTTTCAAAAATAATTTTATATTCGCTTAGCATTTCGGCAAAAACTAGCTCGACCTCTGGCTCCTGTTTTTCGTTACTGCTACTCATATTCGATTTTAAAAACGAGACAACAAAACATTGCTCTTTATTCCGTACAAATGTGCGCGACGCGCGTAATGTTTGTAACCTCTTTGTTACTCAAGAAACCAATTTTTAAAAACCTTAGCCTGCACTATCACTTGTCCACGACGAGCAAATGCTCATGAGTAAGTTCTTCGGAGACATACGAAGTTTTTATTCATACGAAATGGAACTTCTGGTCAGTGCCAGGGAGTAGTCTCACTTTGCTCCGGAGGAAGTGCTCATTTTTATTCATATGAAGCAATAATGAATAGCATGACAGCATGTTTACCTTCCGAAAAACATCTGTTTGTTAACCCGCAGATAAGACATTTCCGCAATTTCTCCTTTAAACAGAATTCTTACGGGTACGCAATGATTTTTTTATGACAGAAACTTTGTTCCAGAATTTATTTGCACACACTTCAGTTTGGTACAGTCACAACTTTTTTTTAACTTGTAACGAGTTCCGGTAAATATTTTTTTCTCCGACTTACTTGCTACGTGCAGTCGCAAGAATGTTTCCTTTCATTTCACTCGGCTGCGACGCGATGCCCAGAGCCTGGCTCCGAAGAAGCCCTACTTGCTACAAACACCTACACCGTCACGTCGGGTTTCCTCCTTCTTAACCCAGCCGGCCGCTCGCCGGAGCATTCACTCGCAAGTGAAGTTCTGAGGGGATAGCACGTCTTCCAACACGCTTCGCATACACAATGAGAACTACTGAGTCAGTGCCTCAGCACTCGTCGATTCCTCAGTCTTATGTAACGAAACTTGCGCCAACTGATGGAATTACTTAACAAGGCAGAGTCTAATTTTTGTTTAAATAACAATATATTGTGGGAAAACTCTGAGTTTAGAAATCGCACAATACAATCAAGTAGGTAGTTAGCTGAAGCACCGTTACAAAACAAAACCTGCACAAGTAAATACACCTTAGGAGGAACTCATTAATAAAACCACATCTACGTACTGCTTCCTCATGCACACCGAGAGCATCCTACCTTGGCCATAATCACTTCTTGCGGCGACGGCGAGAATCACACGCGGCGGTCAAAGCAGTCGAACAAAAGCGCGCCTCCTGGTCCGCCAGCGGCAGGGTCGGAGAGCGCCGGCGCCACGGAGGCCGCCGCAGCCGAACTGCCTCGTGCGCACAACAACTCCTAATCAGCGCTCATGAACACTTGTTGCTCCTCGGACAAGACGCGGCACGACACTACGCGGCGCGGCGCGAGGCAAGGCACGCGTGGCAAGACGACGACGCGGCTGCGGCACTGGCGAGTGGCGACCCTGGCAAGCAGGCACCCCGCACCAAAGTGCATAAAACACTTCAGTTGGAGGAGCACCCGCGAGATGGCGCACCGGTGCGCTTCCACGCCCGCTCCTCCGGCCGGCCGTTGTGATTGCGCGCGCGCGGAAGGATGCGCCTGGCCTGGGGTCCTCGGATGGACGTGTTGTTGTTGTTGTCAACGGTCGAACGTACGGTGTTGCTCCCAGCGCGACGTCAGTTCGTTCGCGTTGTCCATTCCTAGTTTTAAACACTTGCGTAGTCGTAAAACAAAAGCAGTATATAATTATGTTATGTTTTTTATGTATGTGTTTTTGTTTTTTGTCTTCAAATGTTTATAAGTAATGACGAGGAAGTAAATTTTGTGATTAAATATTTCAGTTGAGGTGATCTAGTATTATTTTTCTCGTAAAGGAACGTTGAATCTGGTATTACAGACCAGGCTTTAAGTTTTAAATATTCTTCTTTTTTGTTTATTTTAAAAACCAGTACTACTAGAATTCCATAGTAATTGTCTACTAATTATTATTAAATATATTGCAATATATTCATAATTGAATTTCACTTATTTTATTTACGATCGCTTAAAGGGAAGGATATGAAGTAAAATGTAATAAAATGGCAGAGGAATGGGATGGTCAACTTTTAAAACTTAAAAAATAAATATAATATGATTTGATTATATAATATGAAATAAAATAGGCCTCCAATTTCATTATGTAATTAAATTATTGTGATGTCATTTTATCAGTTGCCTTTTCTCTTACAGTGTATAAGGAATATTTGAAGTTTTCTGGAAAATTCTGTTGTGGTGTAATAAACTATTGACTTTTAATGGTTATTCATTTTTATTAATAGCAGACAAATATTACATTCTGGATTTGATGTTTTATTTAGCAAGAACTATTTACTACACTTGAAGTGGCATAAGCTCTGCAGAACATTCTCTGTATTTTCATCAAAAATTTCTTTTGAAGCATGCCAGTACATACTGAATAATCACTAATCAATTGAGTAAATTAAATCATAGATTTTATTTCGTAGCAAAATGTTTTTTCTCATATAACATAATGTATTTTTTCCAATCTTGATAAAAATACGAGAATTATAATTGGTCTCTGACAATATATCCCAAACATTTCTATATTTACAAGGTCATAATGAATAAAGTAATGAAAACAATACAATAAGTCATTATAAGGGAAAGTCATTACAATAATTTTTCCTCTTATGAGAAAGCTCTCTTTCAAAAAAACAAGGTATTTATTGTCTCACTTAAAAGTTGGTTATATTATCAACTTTACTTTTTCAACAAACAGTTGTCATTAACGTGAGAAATCACCACACTTGTAGCACTTACATTCTGCAGGTTCTCGTAATTTGATATCCATTGTGGCTTGACCCTCTTGGACTAAGCGCACTCCATCTGGATTGTAGCAATGAGTTAGTGTAATTGTGCGCTCCCGAAGAAAACTTTCTCGGCAACAGTAACATTCCTTTAAAAAAATAAGCATTCATTACAATTTGCACTTTTATGCATTATCTCTGTGTTTTAGATCTCCCTTTACTACCTTAAGAAATCCAGTAGGGGTGACTACACTTGGTTGAACTTGGGAATTACATGCTCCTTCACATTTGTTTACCCCAACTTCACTTGTGCATGTTCTTTGCAGCCTACCCAATTCATCAAATTCCTCTGAAAAAGTTATTTGAAAGAAAAGAAAATATGAATAAAGGAAGCTGAGTAAAAATTAAAGTATATTTTAAAAAGAGATGATATACCTTTAATAAGATGAATTTCAGATGGAAGTGTTTCACATGCTTCTGGATTGTCAGAATTAGCATAGACATGATTTGCAATTCCTGTCATATGTAATATGACAAATGCAGTGAGAACCATCACAGAAGACTGTGACATGCTGCCTGGAATATGAAATGTAAATTAATAACCTGTAACCACTGAAATATACTTTTTATTTATTGTGAATATTCAGATGGTATAAATTTGCTTTTGATCTTCACTAAGATGTATGTTTTTTGAAAATTAGGGTATGAACCTTACTGAACTAAATGTTGAAATTTTAGATATTAGAGAATATGAAATCTTCTTATGTGTACACTTTAAAAATCAATATTTAATAATACAAAAAGCTTTACTTGCCTGATAGTGGGTAATAAAGTGGTGCCCGAAAGCTGCTCCAGAAGCAGAGAACTTGTGGATGTTGACGGAATCTCCACTCAAATAGCAGTGATGTGCCTCTCTGGCAGCAGTCCTTTTATATAGCCATGTCTCACACTCCTCCCCTGCAGAGAGCTGTTGGGAAGGGGAAGGGGAGACTTCTCCCTCACCCGCCTGCCGGAAAGTGAGAAGGCATTTAATGGAACGCGGTTTCAAGCTTAAGGCTAACAACGATTTTTGAAGATGTCAACAAAGGTTCACACATTCAAAATCAAAACAAAACAAAACTCATATTCTTCCAACCCCTTTCAGAAAATCTAGGGAGTGATGTTTCCCTACTGACAATAAAAAATATACTAGATCCCATACAGTACAGTTTAGAGAAAACAATTTGTAAGTATTTAAAAAAATAAAATTTTAGACAAAAATGAGGAAGAAAAAATCCCTATTAGTTATTTAAGAACTTTTTGTTTTGTGCATTTACTTACTATAAAAATAGAGTTTTCTACATGCAGAAAATATTAAGCAAGACATTTGTTGTCAGAAAATTGCATTCAAGCACTTATTCAACATTGCTCAGATCTTCAATTGTGAAATCAGATCAGTTCTCTTTAGAGCACAGAAAGGAATGAATGGGATCATACATCAGAAAGTAGGCATTCGGTCCGCACCTCACAAAATTTTTTGCATTGAATTTAGTGAAGTAAGTTCCTTTAAAACTTCCAAGAATTTATCTTTCCTCTGTCTGTATACCAACAGCATAGGAACAGATTCTGTTGGTTGTAGTGAAGCAGGAAGGTGCCAGACATGTAGTTAACTGTCTCGATCATGCACTGGAAACTGGAAGATAAAAAGGATATCCCATCTGTATAACTTAACAAAACTAACTAAATAATCTTAAGTAACTTAATGACACATTTCTTTCAATTTGTTTATTTTATGACTGCTTTACATGCAAAGTAGGAACAACAATAAATGCTAATAAACCAGGAATAAAGTGATGAGTTTGGAGCATAAGAAAAAACAGACAAGTTGTTACTGTAAAAAGAGTTTAACTTATTTTGAAAAATTATTGTCAAAAATTTAAATTCTGTATTGTTTTGAAAATATAAAGGATTCTTATTTTTTTTTTTACTTATTCTTACTTTATTCTTATTCTTGAAAATAATGTGAATCTGTACTGTATGTGAAATGTTTCTCATATTTTTTATGTACATCTTTAACTTTTATTAAAGTGTGGCTAATTATTTTCTAATTCTCTCCAAGTGCATACGACTTGTTTATACTAAATAATTTTGCCATATAAGTCTAATTTATGTTTGAATTTGGAAACACAAGTAATATACAAAAAAATGTGGCAATCATTAAAATATAAGGTATTGATAAAGTAAAATATATGTAGACAAATTTGAAATCATTGATAAAATGTTTGAGTAATGAAATAACTGATATCACTTTAAATTACAATAATTGCTACTACAAAATTATATAAAGATTTGTAAGTTATATAGAAAGACATATAAAGAAGATTATAAAAATGCAAGGAAGTGCTGAGATTGGGTCGACATTATGTCTTTAATTATATGCCTAATGATTTTTCTTTTTTCCAATAATTTATTCAAAATAAACTTCAACTCCATAAGGTCACACCAAACACTTTCAAATCTGTTTAAAGATTGTTAGCATTATTGGCCTTAGTTACCTCACAGAAATCAAGGCAAAGTTGTATAAACTCACTTAAATTTTTGAGAGAAATATTTAATTAATAATTTTGATCCAAAAAATGTAGCAATTTAAAACAGAGGAGATTAAAAGAAATAATTCATTGAATAGGCACAGACAAAGTTGCATTTAATACTTTGTTCTGAAAGTAGAGAGAATTATAATGTTGCAGAATAGAGATGGCATTAATTTTTACAAATAATTTTCTTCATTATTCTATGCTACAAAACATACCCAAATATGTAACAGTATTTTTCCTGCTATATTATTAGGAAATTTTCCAATTCATATATTATATATGCTTTTAATGGAAATAAAATAAAATATCATGTCTTATTTTAAAACTTTTTATTTTATTTCAATTGTGGCAAAACTTCCTGATATTTTTTTGAATAACTTATTTACTTTTTATTTTCCTTTAAACAATCCTTTTATTTTCATTTTTGATTCAATTAATACAAGAATGGTGTAAAATGTATTACAAACTTTTAAATTATTCTGAATATTTGTTTTCCCTAGCACATATTGATTTCACCAGTTCTTTTTCCTCATTCTTATATTTTCATATGCTACCATGCTCATGTGTCTTATGCTATCCAAATATTTACTTTCCTCATAAATAAAAATAAAAATTGGTCAATATTTAGTAGTGCATAATGTGAAAATCAAGTTCTTTGTTCTTAAATTACATCAGTACTTTGTTACTTTGTAAAGAAATACATATTTATGTATACAATATATTATATATTATAAACAATGAAAATAAATATCTAAGCATTGTAAGCAAAAAGTGTGTCTGAAAATAAATGAAAAAACCAAGTATTTCAACTATGGAGATTTCCTGGATTTGAATCAATTTTGATAATAATCCTTTTCAAACTCTTATAAGCAACCACCTCAAAACCCAACAAACAATTTCTGACACTCTTCAACCCCTAAAACATTGCAAAAAATTTGAATCAAGTGTGACATGGCGTCAGAAGAAAGACAATTGCACGAAGAAATGACAAACTGCACTATAAAATATTACTCTATTCGCATCTTGACCTGTCAGTCAGGCGCAAACGCAATTTGCTTCTCTTGGCCCGCATATCAGCCTGTTTACTGACATAACTCGAAACCGGTGGGCTTCACTAGAAGTTCTTAAAATATGATAATCGAGGTTGAAGTTTTCTCTATATAGTTCTCACACGGCAATCTACAAAATGAGATTTTCTTTGCAAAATGAGCTTTGGAAATCCGATTCTTTTAGGTACCTCCACTCTTTGTTAAGGGTGCTCAAAGAGTGAAATTTAACCGAATATTTTGACGTCCAATGCTGTGACATTCTATGCATGGTTAATTTGTTATTTATTAATAATAGACATTGACTTTCTTACGGATGTGAGAAGAAATGTATTATTTTCACATGCGAGAGTTCTCGCACAATAACTCAGTTTTATCTAGCATGTTTCTGAAATAACCTAATATATCATATAAAATATAATTGGGGGCTCTATCCAACGAGGATTTAAGCACGTGTTTAGTACACTTATGCATTATTGCACACTTGAGAACACTTCACTTCTGATTTAACGCGGATAATATCGAAAATATAATATTTTTAAGGTACCGTAACTTCAAGATTCGAGTTAGTTTGGGGCAAATATAGTTTTAAATTATTCTTCAGTGACTGGCTTAAACCAGCCTACATTATTTATTTTTTCAGAATAACTACTAAATATGCATTTCGGAATATCCTCAAGCATTCAAGTTCCATTTCTTCTTAAGCGTTTGCTTGTATCCCTTACTTCAGTATTGTGTTTTGTTACTTTGAGGAATCCTATTAAAAACAATTTTCCCGAAATAACGTGCCCTCAAGGACTTCAACCATCGAAATAAGCAACGCAAAAAGAAAATGTTAGAAATTACAATTTCAGAAGTGAGAAAAGTTTTATCGAGCTGAATGTGCCTGTGAAAATGATGCGCAGAAAACGAGGGTTTTATGGAAGAATATAGAAATGCAATTCTACTCTTTTGTTTTTCATTAAGTAAAACCTAATAACGATAATACCATTTATCTCGTTTTTAAAGTGTGTTTTGAATTACTGCCCTCTCTTAAAATGTCCGTAGTGGTTTCGTCAAATATCTCAGTATGATTTAGAAAAATAAAATCGCGAATCAGAAAGTGCGCGAAGTTAATAAGAAAATGAATAATAATAATAATAATAATAATAATAATAATAATAATAATAATAATAATAATAATAATAATCATCATCATCATCATCATCATCATCATCATAATACACTTCTGTTAAAACAAATGGGCACAAAAATCAGTATAATAACCAAATAATTTACAAATATTCATAACTGCAGCAACTACTAATTACTTTCATTTATGTGCAAAATATCTTACTATTTCTTATTAAAAACATTTATTTATGAAATTAGAATGTGAAAATGCTTTATTGCATTCTCCCTCTTCACAGAAATGACAAATTATTATTCATAGTAGATACTAACGGAGGAGGATCTGGTTATTCAATTTGGAGAGGGATCACTGTCTTGCAGTGGTTCAATGTAATCATTTAGAATTATTTTCTTCGAAGGTGGTTTCGATATTAACATGTAATATTTAGTTCACTAGGGTTTTCATAATTCACTTTCATGTTGTTGTTGTTGTTGTTGGGTTTTTTTTTTTTTTTTTTTTTTTTTTTTTTTTTTTTTTTTTTTTTTTTTTTTTTTTTTTTTGTTTTTTTTTTTGTTTTTTTTAACTTTTCCAGTCCTAAGTACTGGAATCCGTGGCAAACAGAAGGATCTCGACAATACAGTCTCAAATTTTCTACAGTAAAATTCGTGTTTAAGGTTCTTTTGAACTGGATTTTTGCACACACGCCATGATTAAGGTTTATTAATGATGTTCCAAAGACAGTAAAGATTGGTTCTGGTGGGGATGAGAAACAAACAATGTTGTACCCGAATTTCGGGATGACTGGATGGATAGATAGCGGATGTTTCTACCTCGCTTAACTGACAGATTAGAAGCCTTGGAACTTAAGAGTGCTATAAATGCTAGGAGTAAAATCTAATTGTGCCTTTCCAGGAATATGAAGATATTTTAATTCTTGAGAGTAATTTACATGAACCCTCTGTGACATTTTCAAAATTTTCTGGAAAATGGCTGCAATTTTTTTTACATGAATAGAGGAAAATATGGAACAGTTCCAATTTTTATTAAAAACTCTGAAATTTTGAAAATTGCGAAATTTTAAACACGTTTCGAAAGTGTCATTTACTTCCTACATTAAACCCAGAGATTTGTTTTTTAATGCAATTTTTTCCTCAAATGTACATCTTTATATAATGTCAGATTTTTTATGTGAATGGTTGTTGGGTTATAAACTAAGCTGAGAAAACGTGTCAGTATTCCGCTCATTCCCGTTAGTTTTCGTGTATCTTCTGCTTTTCCTCTTACGCAATAAATTACACTGATTTAAATAAAGGTTTTTGGGAGTTCATGACCCCTTAGATCCCCCACTGGACTGTCGTCCTCATTTTCGATAAACCGAACGAAGGAGAACGGAGCGGGAAGGAGATGGGGTGGGGATGGGAAGGGGAAGGGCGGAGGGCGGAGGGACACGGCGGACCTCTTTCCCGCCGGCGCGCGCAACCCTCCCGCGGCGCGACAACGGAGTGCGCTTCCAGTAATGGCCGGCGCGCCCGCTGCCCCGCACACTCCCCCGCCCCTGCACCCGCCCCTGCACCCGCCCCCGCTCGCGGGGTACTCGCCCCAATTCATCCCCTAAAGGGCGGCGGAAAGACGAATACATTGTTACTTCGTAACATCCGCAAATGGGTACAAAAACGGGTAAACGGATATGAGAAATGAGTATAAAATCGCAAATGGGTATGAAACGCATTGTTGTTTGCCCCTACTTCTCTTCATTGTTACTATGGCATTCCCCGAATTTTTCCCCGGTACCCTGTTGCTCTCAGAACAGCAGTTGTTTCTGCTTTCCCTGCGATACTTGAAGTCTCTCGTGTTACTCGGCCCCAAATTTTCTCCATAAGGACGTCGGAAAGACAAATACAATGCTACTGAACGAAAATTGACAAAGAATTGAGGTCTGTCGCCCCCTTCGAGATTTCACGAGATACTAATCCTGAATTCGCAACCCTATGACGGCGGGAAGAGAAAATCTTTATTGCATCTTATCTGATAAGTCCAATGAAGCAAATGAATGAAGAAAAGAATTGTTGTCTGCCGGCTCTGCACCCACTCTAACTCATCCTCTGTAAAAAACATAATACATTATCATGAAATACTTTATATAATACTAATTGATATGAAAGATAATGGTGCCTGAAAAAAATCATTTTTATGTAATAAATTACTAAAATAAAATAAAATGTCAGAAATAATTTTTATCACTCAATTCCTACTTTAAATAATTGATCAATATTGCAAAGTCCTGTGATATGTTTTCATTAAGGAAAAGTAACAAAAAATTATAAAGCAAGTAAACTACATTCTATCTCTTTATTTTAGTAAAAACATGTTTCTGCTGAGAAGTTAGGGGTGGATCCAGCTGATCATTTTGGAGTGGGACATGGTAGATTTTTGTTAAACAATACACATATTTGTTATTAAATTGTATATTATTTACATACTGTAGATATGATACTATTCAATAATTCCATAATTCAAACATAAATAAATATTTAAATCAATTGTGCCAAATAAAAGAATGAAAATGAAAACACATGGCCCCCATCCCCCCCCTGGATCTGCCAGTGTGTAGAGTGCATTGTCAATAAGGTGAGATACTGGTATGTCACATATGAACACGTTTTCTGTCATAATTAATATGTAATGTACTACATGAAAATAGTACACTTTTAAAAATTAATGTATTTGTATTTTTATTTAATATTGAAATGATCAGTAGAAGAAATATTAGATGTCATACATTTTTTTCTTACCTCTAGTTCATCTCAAGGACGACAAAAATATAATTCTTCAAAAGGAAAGTTATCATCATATCAGTAATGTGAAAGTACTACCTGTGTTTCAGTCAAAATTCTAAATTATATTTGATACATTTTGCTCATACCTTGAGATAATGCAGCATAATTTTTGTTTTCAAAAGCCATTAAGAAGCAAATATTACCTACGTATTTTAGCTATGTATAAGATGTTGTTTCAAATCAATAAAATTTATTTATTTACATCTGGCTTCCATTATCTATTTAAGTATTGCAAATTCATTTGTTTTTAGACTCAAATTCTATTTTCATATTGAAAAGCTCCATTAATTTGGACTTTGAACTTTCATCACCAAAGAATATTTAAAATTCTCGTTGTTGGTACACATTATGTACACTAAATTATAGAATTATATTATCCAATTCATTTACATACAGTTAACTCAAAAAGTTTTAAAGTATATTAACAAGTATATGTGACATGAAATGAAAATACAAATGCAATTCTCTGTTACCTGCATCTTAAAAAAATTTCTGTTTACATACTCATCTTTCAAAATAGTGCACAACTTTTGAATCACATTGTACTCTCCCTGGCAAGAGAGGAAGGGGTCACACTAAAAGGGGAAGTGTGCTCTGCGCCTCCCCCACAGGAGACCCCTCAGTGTGCCCCCACTCCTGCTCTCAGCTCCCTATAAAGCCAGCAGAATTTTGTTTCTTTTACAGTTGACAACTGAGAGGACAGCATATCATTCAGCTACAAAGAAGCCAAAATGCTCCATGACAAAGCAGTTGCAACAGGTATGTTCTCACAGTTTTAGCATGTAAAAAGGAAAAACTTGAGGATTAATTTTATTTGTAAATTGATTCTCATTGTCATAATCAATCACAGAATATTTTCTCTCAATGCTTAAAATAAACACCCTTTTTACGGGCATTTTTGAAAAGTATTACATTTTATAGTTGATTTTGTTAATAATAATGATTTATATTCATTATCCTTAGAATTAGCATTGCAGTGCAAATTAATTTTACCAATGATTTTTAAACAAGAATTAGCGATTATTTAGTTATTTAATGCCTGCAATGATAAGATATTGTGCTCATTATAAATTTTTTTTATGTAGTTACCCTCCTGTTCCTGGGCTCTTGCGGCATATTGCTGACATGTGCTCTGGAAACTACAGCTCCAATTGCAGATGAATGTCAGGTGACACCTGTCATTCACGTCCTGCAATATCCTGGCTGTGTACCAAAACCTATTCCATCTTTTGCATGCACAGGACGCTGCAGTAGCTACTTACAGGTATTTCTCAATTAATGGCATCTTTCCATCAAAACAAACTTATAGTCATCTAAATACTCTGAATTAAACAGGAAAAAAATTTTTTTTTTTTGATATTGATGTGTGACCTATTAATTAGTTGTGGCTGAGAAAATGAATGTTATTATATTTGTTAAAAACTGTTTAGATGATTAGCATTCATATTCAGTAATCTGACTGACCTGACATAACTTTGATTTTCATTTATGAGTACATATTCCTTAATTAAATTTTGTCTTTTATCTTCATATCTTAATCTAGGTGCCAAATTTTTTACCACCAATGACTTTGTTCCAGGTTTCTGGATCCAAGATATGGCAGATGGAAAGATCTTGCATGTGCTGCCAAGAAAGTGGAGAACGTGAAGCTAGTGTGTCACTTTTCTGCCCCAAGGCAAAACCTGGAGAACGAAAATTCAGAAAGGTTATATTCCTGCAATATTCTTGTGCAAATATTACAAATCTCATTTAAAAAACATATTTTTTCCATATTTACAATAAAATAAACAGTTTACTATTTCTATTGTAACAAATATAGAACAGATTTTAGGATAAATAATATTTAAGAGTGAAATTCTATTTTTAATTCAAGAACTAAGAATGTACATTACCTTTGAGAAAATTATACAAAACTATTCTCTTGAAAAATTCACAAAATTATTTTCGATTCTTCCATTCACATAGTTTTATTGTTTTTGTACTTTATGAATTTTAAGTACCAACTGTTTTAAAGTTAAAGTTAATTTTATGATTAATGTTTTCAGAATTGGAAATGAAAACAAATATATAGGGACAGAAAGAGTGAAGGGAAGCTTCCCTGAATATTTTATTAATATATTGTGGGAGACAAATTTTTATTTGCAGTGTGATATTCAAAATTTTATATTAGATTATTCTTATTGTGTGAGTTGAATGTATTGTATGATGACGACGACAACGATGATGATCATGTTAATTATCTGTTCCAGGTGACAACAAAAGCTCCTCTGGAATGTATGTGTCGCCCTTGTACAGGAGTTGAAGAAAGTGCTGTTATACCCCAAGAAATTGCTGGTTACGCTGATGAAAGTACTCTCACCAGTCACTTTAGAAAGTCACAATAGAAATATGATGTTCAAACACTTTTCTATTTAAATGAATTATTTGATATCATACAACATTTTATTTGGAATTGTTAAAAAAATGTTATTATACTATAAGTCTCACAAAAGCTTGTACAAAAACTTTTCAAAAAACTTTGTTTCATCCAGTATTAAGCTTTTTTACAACTGACCAATTTAGAAAGAATTCACACTGAATTTTAATTTATTTCAGTCCAAGGTAAACTAAATATTACATATTGTACTCAACAATTATATCTATTAAATAAAATAATCCACAACACTGGCACGAGATACATTTTATCATTTTTTCCCTTCATCCATATTACAAGGTATCTATTAATATAAGTATATTCAAAAACGGCTTAATTGTAGAAGCTACCTTTTTGCTTTTCATGAAATGCAAACTGATACTCTAATGCTGCACAGTATGATTTTTTTCTCACATTTAATTTAGATAAATTTGAAAATATTGTATGATTTGTTTTAATAGCCATGTATAATACAAATGTTGTAACTAGTGGTGTTACAACAGCACATACTTTCTTGCATTATGTCTGAAAAATATTTCAAACTTTGCAATTTTCAAAAATTCAGAGTTCAATGAAAATAAGACCTTCGCCATTCTTACTCATGGCTAAAATGATGATTTCATGCGAACATCATTACTTCTCTAGTAATTTAATAAAAAGAACATTGATTACATGAATGATTCATGGTTTATGGAGAGATGATCTCAGTTTTTTCAATTCTGAATATTTTGATTTGTATTCAAAACTCTCTGTGAACAGTTCAACTCACTCCCAAAAGAAGAACCGGAATGGCGCGGTGTTCAGGCATCTGCGACATTTTTTTCTGATGCAGATCCACTTTTGAAATCACCCGCCACCACTGATATATTGAATTATTTAATTTCCTATCTGCTCAATGTGTACACAATATGTAGTCAAGTTCTCACGCGTCATCAAAGGGTTGCCCTTCTCAAGCAGACATGTAGATACTAATGTCATTTTGAAGAGTTCATAAATATATAGAAAATAAATGGTAGAATTGCATTAGTTTCAAAACAGCAGCTTGCAACCTAAAACCAAACCCTACCATCAAGACTTACCAGGTCACCAGAAAAGAGTGCGAAAAAATTGAGTGTGTAGACACATGTGTGAATCAACCGCAACTTTAGGAATTTACAGACAGCTTGTCAACGCTTTATGTTGTGTCATACTATATATGAGAGGAATGATTGATAGACCTAACTGGGGTGAAAGTGCAACGAACATGAAATATCTTTACAATTTCCAAATATAAATATTGCAATTGCAAATAGAAAGGGAAGCAGTGCTTCCATCTTATTAATGGAATCATCAATCAAATATCTTATCGACGTCCCTGCTGAAAATAATAACAGTCGCAACTCGTTCAAAAGTGTCCTTTGACGCACTCATTTCAAATTGCCCAACTTGGATCCTATTGTCGCCTTATCTGTCAACATCTCATTCTTACTTCGAAGACTCAATTTTTGTCCTAGTTTCATACAGAACTATTGTAGTACATGTCTAATTACACTTATTCAACTACAAAAAAATTAATTTAATTTTTATTGACTTGTATAAAATTTAATCATGTGATGAATCAAATACTCGGAAAAGTGGTCGTGAAAAACGTATTTATCATGAATTTGTTCACTATGACAATAATAATACAGGTGATAAAAAAAATACATCAATTATTAATTTGAAATAGAGTCTATTCATTACATTTGAAACGATCCATTTTTATTGATATTAGGTTTGAGAGTTAATTTTGGAGAGTTCCTACAAAGTTTTATTACTAACTCAATAGTGTATCATCATCATTATCATGAACATCATCATTGTGCTTTCTACTTAATTGCAGTATTTTTAAAAGAAAGTTTTTTTTTTATTTTCTCTTCCGAATGCGTATACTATTAAAATGAATCTACGGAAATATAATTCTTTATGGAAAAACAAAAACAAATTTTAATGGTTCTAATTCGCGTGGATTTAAAATTAGACACAGTGTATCTCACACATTGTTATCAAATATTCCCGCCAAAAGAGGATTGAAACTAGAAAGCAGAGTTGCCACCGAAATTTTTACTTTCAGTACTTAAAAAAATATTTTTTTTCTGAAAATTTCGGATATTTTATTTCAGATATACTATTTATCTATTTTGTTTTATGGAAAATATGATACATTGCGTATCTTATATATTCTACAAGTATATTACGCAAACTTTTTATGCTTGTAAATTGGTATTAAATTGTGGATCGTTTGTGATGTGTCAAATTGGATTTCGTCAACAAATAACGTCATGTTGTACGTGGTTATGAGGCGAAGTCAAGTAAAAGAACTTTACACTTGTTGACACGTATGACAGTTGTGGGACTTGGTGTTGTGCGTTTTTACGATATTTATTAAAGTGACAGATAATATTACAATGCTTAAGGCAGTGATATTGATTGGAGGGCCTCTTAAAGGTTATGTTTCATATTTTGTTAGTAAATAAAGAGGGAAAATATCAATTAGTACTACCTATTTCAGTTTCTTTTCATGATCTACTCTGCATTTCAGGCACACGTTTCAGGCCACTTTCATTGGATCTTCCAAAGCCACTATTTCCTGTAGCTGGATTGCCCATGATTCAACATCACATTGAAGCATGTACAAATGTTCCCAATTTGAAAGAAATTTTAATATTGGGTTACTACCCTGCTTCTGACCTTGCTCAGTTTGTGAGTGAAATGATACAGGAATATAAAATTAATATTAGGTATTTCATTCTTTGGTTTGGTAAAATAAAAAATGAACTAATTCTCAAACAAATGTCTTGTAAATACTTCTTTATTGTAGGTATCTTCAAGAATTTACGGCGTTGAGCACAGCTGGGGGAATATATCATTTCAGAGATCAAATTCGATGTGGAAATCCAGAAGCATTTTTTGTCATGAATGGTGATGTTTGTGCTGATTTTCCATTAGTGGAAATGCTTAATTTTCACCATCAAAAAGGAGATAGAGCTCTAGTAAGAATAATACTAATTTGGATTATAAAATTGTATTTTACAAAATCTCAATCCAATCCTGCCCTACAAACATGTAATACTCATTGTTTTATTTAATTGCTATATTTTAAAAACCCAGGTCAAATAGGATAACATTTTAAAATACTTCGCCTCTCCTGTATTTTTTTTTTTGATATATTACTCTTAAGTAATCACAATTTACATTGGTACCAATTAGTTGCAAAACAAAATTTTCAATCTGCACACATCAATTTTATTTTGAAAATATTTTGAAGCTAGGTCTGAATACCTAGAAATTTGCACAAATTTGAGATTCATATTAAAATTTATAATATTCTCTCATGACTACTAAAAAAAAAAAAAAAAATTAATATAAACATTTCTTTTTTCATTCTTTTTCAGTTTAATATGTTAGATGATAAAGCATTTGAAGTGTCTGTTGCTTTCTATGGTTTTGATGTTTCTGGATAGAATGAAAAATAAATACTAGGGTAACCCCATATAATATCTAGTTTAGTTAGATTAATATTGGCATTGCCTTAAAAAAGTATAAAACTAGGGAACAAAAACTTTTCGTATAAGTTTGGTAAGCTTCCCAAAAAACTGCTTCCACCCTGGCTCACAAAATTATGAAGCAATTTGTAAAAGCAGTTTTGAGAAATGATTCTTGATTTGAGAGGAAAATAAAAATTGTAAGATGCCTTTGTTGGTTGTTTGAAAAAAAGCAAGATTGAAAATTCCTTAAGATCAAGAAAGACAAAACACAAAAATGTTGAAACGCTTTGAAGCACTCTTTTAGTTTAATGTGAGTTTGAAGGTGATTTTTTCAATCACCCTGATTTGTTCTAAAAATGTGTAAATCTGAAAAACAGTGTTTTTTCTCCATGATACTTTTAAAATAGAAATGTGACACCCAGGATAATGAAATGTAAACTTGATAGGAAGATTCTGCCCATTGAGAATTTCTGGAGCTACAAGCAAACTTTTACCAACAAGTTAAAAAAGAAGAAACAAATCTTTGGATTTATAGGAAGAAGAAAATTTTACTTTACAATCATATTGTAGAAAAATGTAAAATTTTATTTGTACTTGTATGTATTTTTTAATGTTCACCTTTCTCTTTCCTGCAGTATATTTGAATATTGTAACGGAATAACCAGGCGGAGATCCTTGGGGAGGGAAATGAGGACATCCTCAACTTTTTCAGTAACTATAGTAACTATTAATTTTAACTTGTCACGTAACTTTCAAGCAAAAATATTTTTGGATAATCATTAAAACAAATAAAATGCTATCGTAGCATGGTGTAGTAGCAGGCTGAGTGTAGCCTGAGACAGTTTTCAAAACCTGTAATATGACACATTTGACCAAAACATTTGGAATTTCCCTTCCCAAAATTAGTCTCGGGGATCTCCCCAGAACTAACACTATTCAAGAGCGGATCCAGAGATGAAGTTTGGGAGGGAAAATTAAAAATGTTTTTGTCAAATGTCATATTACGATTTTATAAAATGTTGCAGGCTACATTCAGCTCATGCTGCGATACAATTTTATTTATTTTAATGATATTCCAAAAATATTTTTGATTGAGTTTTGTAAGAAGTGAAAATTGATAGTTACTGAAAAGTTTCAGGTGGGAAAATTTCCCTCATTTTTCTTCCTGTGGATTCCTGTGCACTATTTGTAGAGATTAATGAAAAACAATACATGCTAAATGACACTGGCTATATATATGGGTTCAGCACTCCAAACGTAAAAGTAAAATTTGAACTCAAAAGGCTTTCGAAAAAAGTTATTTGTGTGACATGTGTTGGATCATTTTCAAGTTCCCTCAGCTAGTTCATTCAAAATTTTATCAGCTACTTTTGTCTGCAGGTTACAATATTGTCAACAGAAGCTACAAGACAACAATCTTTGCATTATGGTTGCATTGTTCTAGATAAAGATACATCTGAAATCAAACATTATGTTGAAAAACCATCAACCTTTGTGTCAACATTAATTAACAGTGGAGTCTACCTATGTTCTGTGGAAATATTTCAAACTATAGCTGCTGTTTTTAACAGCAGGCAACAGGAATATTAGTATGTATAATAAAAGTTTTGTTTTATAACTTTTTTAATTTTTAAATTTTAGTACTAAGATTCATTTTGTATCATAATTGATATATTCACTTCACTATCAAAAGTGTGTTTATCTGTATGTTTTGCAATGAGTACTTCATTATAAATGTTTTGTCTAGCAAATGTAATGAATTTAATTCTCATTTTGAATTGTAATGAGATTTTTTATGATTTGGAATTAAGTTGGTTTAAGATATTCTTACATTTTGAAAGCCCTAAAAAAAACATTCCTTTTGTGTAACATTTTTCAGCACTGAACATGACCCAAATCTTTATGGAACTTCTGACCCATTTCTTGTTATCAGGGGAACAAATGTAGGGGTGGTCTATTGTTTTGATGTTTGCTGATAAATGTAAATGTCAATAATCCTCATCTAAACATAACACATTTCTTAATTCTTTTGATATACCGTCAACTTTGGATATAATGAATTAGAATGTAGTGGTCATTTGATTATAGTGAACACAGGCCTATGGTCATAATCCACAAAAATTAACTAGTATGCACTAGCAGTGAACACTAACATCAGTTATAGGGAACATAATAGACAACTTTTAGGGAAAAGCATTTTATTTCAGTGCAACGAATTCATATGACATTAAGAGTTTGGAGATAAAGGTACTTTTGAAACTTTATAGTAGCTGAAAGACATTGACGGAACTGTGCCACTTAGGCATTGGCTTCTATCCATCGGTTTACAGACTTCATGGACACAGACTATAAGTTAAAAACTACTGAAAGCTAATCTAGCTATATCAGGAATGCAATAAAAGGCTCTTTAAAACAGATGAAACTAAGTGTGATGAGCAAGATTCAAGAACGAAGAAAGTGCAAGAGGCACTGAAGGGGTTTAAGATTACTATAAGATATATTGTGTGTATTGACCATGCAGATCAAATGCAAAGAAAGCATGAAGACATTAAAATTTCAAATACATCACTACTGAATCTTTTACTATATCTCTGAAATAATAAATCCAGTCACAGTGGAAAATTATTATATTTTGGGATTATCGAATGTAGTAAACTAGAACAATCATGTTTAATTGCATTCTTTTGGATTTTTTAAATATATTTTCATTCACACATGATTTAATATGATTTAATTGAAGAAAATTGGTTTTCGTAGAAATTAAGTGTTTTTTCTAAATCTCAAGTGTTATGATATTTTACTGATATATCACATAATTTCTCAAGAAATAATTGTGTGAGGTTAAGCTTTCCTGATAGCAATGATGTAGGTCACAAAATGTTTATCACCATTACTATCATTCATGTGAAAACAGAGATATTAAGGATATTTTCAACCTGTTGTAATGACATAATTTGTGTGATAGAAATATTCATTTGAGGAATACATGAAAAAAATTATTCTGTCTCACATCTTTATAAAACTACAATATAAAGGTACCTATCTGTAATTCTTAATGATTTGACATTCTATTTGGTAGTCCAGAAATGTTTCTTGGAACAGAAAATTAAGAATGATGACAACAAGGGTGATCGTAATAAGAACAATTAATCACATTAGTAATGCCATGTATCCCTTTCATGGTTAGCGGAACTATGGATATCGTTTTCTGAGTAGATAAACTGGTCTAAAGGAAATTGTTTTTCCAAAACTTTTCTGCAACTGTGGCAGTTATCCTCAGTTGTGGTGAAGTATTTGACCCTTGGATTATCATCTGTCTCTCTCAGTTACTGTTAGCTGGAGCCAACGGAGAGGTTGCTTTGCCTGCTGTTGCACTACCTCTGAATATGTCTACCGCAGTTGCAGATGAAACCTGTGGAAAAACAATTTCCACTGGATAATGAAATCTTCTAGCCTGGAAAACAATATCCAAATTAATTAACTATTTATCACACAGTTATTAGCAATGTTTTATTGAAAATTTGTGTGTATTTTTAAAAAGGTATGCAATGTTTTAGGTTATCATAAATTGTGAGTGTACTCTTATCTAGTTTAGATAATTTTAAAGAAAAAATAATAGGTTTATTTGATCCTCATGTTTAATTTTGAATTCTAGTGATGGTGGAGTGAATGGAAGAGACACAGCAGTTATTCATCTAGAGCAAGATGTATTGATGCCCCTTGCTGGTACTGGTCGTTTGTTTGCTCTTCAAACGAATAACTGGTGGTCACAGTTAAAAACAGCAGGATCTGCAATATATGCCAATCGCCATTATCTAGAATTATACCGCAGAAGACATCAAAACAGACTGGCATTACAAGTAACTGAGTCTGGTGACCGTAAACAATGCACTGTAATTGGCGATGTGCATATTCATCCTACTGCAAATGTTCACTCTTCCGCTGTGGTATGTTCATTTAATTGATACAATCCAAAGTAAATACAATAAAAAAATGCAAGTCTTCATCCAAAATTTCTGTTGGTGATCAGTGTATTCAATATTCTCCGAATGATGATGACATATGGGAATAATGAATACTAATTGAAAATGTGCGATCTCACAAAAGAAAGAGGTGTAGAACAGTTTTAGTAGAAAGGGACAATACATTCCCGATACGGAAAACATATAAAATATTGTTTCTTGTCATTCAGTAGCAATTTTCCTAAACTAATGAATTGAGTGGTGTACAAATACTGGAACACTATTAACACTACTCACTGTGAGCTTAAGCTACATAATCATGTTTCTAAAAATGTAATTAAATTATTACATTTTTAAATACTAATATATATATATTAAATATTTACCAAGATCTGTACGTATGTGTTGTAGACTACAGTAGGAAATCCAAATATCCTCTGTAATTTAAAAACCTAATGCATCATATGTTTATAATTTCTGAAATTTTTTTGTAAAGACGCATCAGAGGCATGCAGGACATTGTGTTACTATACATTCACTAATCTTAGCAAAATAAAACATCAAGTCAACAAAGTACAAGAAATGTAATAGGTCTTAATAACAGTGTAACAAACAAATGATGGCAAGTAAGCATTATTTCCATTAATTGTAAAATAATTTTCAAACATACTGTTTTTACTGTAAAACGGGTTAATAAGAGCAAATGAGAACCCATCTAGGGCCCCCTTCATTAAAGAAAAATATCATGAAATTAGATTGAGTAGAATGCTAAAATTGCTTTCTAAATGAAAACCCTTAGTGATTTAAATGAACAGATAGTTCATTTTTCTGAAATAAATTCACGATTAAAGTCTTGTTATATAAAATGTATCATAAATTCAAATTGTTTCTTTTGCAAAATATCAAGTAACATGTTCATTTTGGAAATTTATTATTTATTTGTTAATTATCTAAAATTGTGTTCTAGTTAATTGCCATTTTAAGACTGCTTGCTCTAAAACAAAAGAGCATGTAAAGTGCATAAATTCATGGTAACACATTCATCTTTCAGAAGAAAAATGTTGTTTAAAAATTAAGAAATATTACCAAAGCATTCAATCAATGATGGTTATAATAATAATAATAATAATAATAATAATAATAATAATAATAATAATAATTATTATTATTATTATTATTATTATTATTATTATTATTATTATTATTATTGTTGATGTAAATACTGAAGGAAAACAAAAATAATTTTTAAAAAGTAGAGGTTAAATTTTTTATAATATACATTACATACAGCAACTAGTTGTGCAAATATGGCACATACATTCCCTTATTACAATACTTTCTCTTTTGTACATAGTGTACATTTGAGAACGTTTTATCAATTTACTCCAGAAGGAATTAGTCAAATTGGTTTATTGTTTTCATAATTATTTATGAAACGTGTTTCATAAGTAACTATCATCATTATTATTTGCTTGTTTCAGTTGGGTCCTAATGTCAGCATTGGGAGTGGAGCAGTGATTGGGCCTGGTGTTCGTATTCGGGAATCTATAGTGTTGTCAGGGGCTCATATTGCAGATCACAGTTTAGTGCTTCACAGCATTGTTGGTCGTGGCAGCAAAGTTGGGCAGTGGAGTAGGGTGGAAGGAACACCTTGCGATCCAAATCCAAACAAACCATTTGCAAAAATGGAAAACCCTCCTTTGTTTAACTCAGATGGGCGTCTTAATCCATCAATTACAATATTAGGTAAGAATTGCATTTTATGCTTGTGGTGGAATTCATATTTTTTTAATGTATACTATCACTTTGTATATACTATCACCTTTTTGGCTGTTATTACAATACAAATTAAAGAAAGTTGAGGTGGAAATTTAACCTGTAAGATAATGATTTTTTCTATAATACCAAAACCCTTTGATTTCGTTTAGAAAATCTGATCCAGAAAATTTTATATTCTGGAAGGGATCCAGTCCCACTTAATCTGGATTATCAATGTGTTACTGTACTACATAGTTTCTAGTAAATAAAATAATATAATAATGATAATAATTGTATTAATTTATAATTTAATAATAATAACACAACTTTTCTTAATAGGTTGCAGTGTAACAGTTCCATCTGAAGTTATTCTTCTGAATTCCATTGTTCTGCCATACAAAGAACTGACTAGAAGTTTCAAAAATGAAATAATTCTTTGAATTTCTGCAAGATACCACCATTATATGGATGCCACACGTGAATGCACAAAATAAAGAAGTCATTGAAAATTGAAACTTTGGACTTGTCAAAAATGTATTGTCATTTTTATTTTCAGTAAGATAATATTATTTATTTGATGTTGTTAAAACATGTACTACAAATAATGATTGGAAGCCACGAAGTTACTAAATTGGTCTTGTTACCAGATATATTAGACTAAATAATATATATTGAACAGTTCATTGACTGTAATATTGCTGAGGTTTGCTAGTCTGTAAGTAACACACAAATGTTGTTGAGCATGCAGAGAATATATACTGCTGATTAGTTTTACATTTTGTTAGTGGAAATAAAGAACAAATTTGTTCTAATTACTTTTATAAGTCTCGTCATTAAATATTTCATAATTGTAAGGTTAATCATGTTCAATAGGTTGTCAGTTTGCAGCAAAAGACCAATAAGCTTTTTTTAATTCTCCAAGAAAAAGCAGCTTAATACTGAAAATCCTAATAATTCTTACTAGTGCTACTCAAAATTTCTTAAAGTTCATACATTTCTCTCATACAAAGAAAAAGTGCTCATGTTTTTGTGGGTTTAGATTGTCCTCTAGAACACTAGGAATGAAAATGTATATTGTTTTTCTCAAAATGGCACTAGGTCTATTGACACAATTAAGCCAAATAAAATATTAATTTGTAAACATATAACCAAAGTTTGAATGTTAGAAACAAACAAAGAAATATGAAATAACATACAAATTCTAACTTTCATAGCATCCAACTGCTTCCAAGCACTTCTCAAATGCAATTTCATAAAGCTCGGGAAATTCAAAGTGGGCTACTATATTTGATGGCAAATTGCCTTAAAAAAAATTTAAAAAAAAAAAAAAAAATGTAAAAAACAAAAAAAAACCTTATATTTTAGAAAAATTGAACCTGATATTACATGATCTGTTTTTAATGAACATATTTTATTAAAATAAAATGATCTTCATATTTGTTATTATGGAAAGAGTGAATTTATGTAATTTTTGACCAATCTGGGATTTCAACAAACATGAGACATGCCTCATTCCCTTTAGCGTGCTTTACACTATCCCAGGTTAAAATTTAATCAAAAAAATTGGTGCCGTTTTCAAAAGGTTTTTTTAAATTTTAAAATGGCCTTTATTTCAAGCAAAATTACGCTAAAAATACTCAAATTTTCGAAACTTTGTACATTATAATTATTTGAAAATCTGTTTTTCAAGAACTGATTTCATTAATGAAAAAAATCCCTCCCTCCAATATTTTAGCTGTCGGAAAATACCGAAAAAAATTAACTTTAGCCATTTTCGAAAAATCAGGGAATTTAATGAAAATGTGACCTACAACATTCTCTTAAACTGCCTATATACTATCAGAGAACAAAATTTATCTTTTAAAAAATGGCGCCATTTCTTTGAAAATTAACCGGGGGCTCCACGTAAAGTACCCTCCAAAATCAAATTCCAGGGGCTGCGACAGCCTGATCCATTACGGAATTTGAATTTTGGAGGAAAACGGTTCAGCCGCTAGCGTTGTTCATAGACAGACGCACAAACGTTTTGCCGCCAATCGATTTTTAGTTATCAAGTAATCTCAAAACTTAATTCTGCATCACGTGTTAGAGGATATTTTTTCTTCTATATGTATCAACTATTTATCCGCTTTTTCGTCTCGTTACTTCCGTCTGTGTTGCCGCGTGGTTAAGATACTATACATGTGTGTGGTGTTTAATACATCTTTTCTAACTCAATATTTCGTTATACGAGGGTTGCCTTTTATATTTCAGGATTAGAGAACAAAAACAAATACTAATAATCGAATAATTATTGTTTTTCAAAATAGTCCCCATGAAAATCTATACACTTTTGCATGCGTTTGAACCAATTGTCGAAGCACTTTTGCCACTCTGA